TGTGGAAATCATACTCCAGCAGCCTCTTGCAGTACAAGAAATGAAAATGTTAGTCATCGTCATTGTAACTTCATGGCACCCATTCTATTTGAAGGACGTATCTTTTCTGATACATTAGTGAAATCAGAATTGGACAGTTCAAATTGCAATGCTCCTGTTGATTATAACGCTTTATCATAATGCTTATCATAATTACAGTGTTAATATTTTTGGTTGAAAAAATCTTGGGTTTCATTAAAATAGTTGCATGAAGTTGTCTCAGTTATTGTGTTCATTAGGAATGTTTAAAGGTTTTGCACTCCCTTCCATGAATGGTTAGCCAACCATTTAAGCCTTTCATTGTTTCTGGGAAGTACAGGTTTTTGAATATACGTTTTTTACAGAACATCCATGCATAAGTCTGGAATATCTTATGCATTTAAAGTTACATGTGTACTTTCTGGATTGACTTGCTATTCCTTCAGTTGCTTCTCTATCTTGTTTTCTTGTATCCATTCATTCGTCATACATTCTATGCCATCGCTTTTTTTTTTTTTTTTTTACTCCTCCTTTTTTTAATTCTTTCTTCTCATTCACTGGCTCACCAAAATTATACATGATTCGATGCTTGTGTATTTGTATAGAGAAAACTGGGGCATTAAATAGTGGTTTTTTGAACAATACCCCATGTATACTTGTTGTCAGGGTTCAATTTATTTCATAGTCAAATAGTTTTCTGTGGAATTCATTCTCTGCTGTAGAATTGTGCTTCAGAATCTAAAATTTCATTTTAAAAACAGTTTTGAGCTCTTGGTTAAGAAGTTAACCTTGAAAATGTGATCTGAAAGTTAGCTAATGCAAATTCACACACATTTGCACCCTGAGTTTGTGGAGAGCCTGTGAAACAATAGTTTTCGGAGGTGTGATCTGTTCTTGTTCAGGGACATTGGGGGAGAGGGGAAGGGTTAGATTGTGGTTAGCTATTGTGTGAGAGCTCGTTTCAACCTTTTCCCAAGTCCGGATGCAGCCTATCACCTGTCTACTTAGATAAATTTAACCTCAAGGTTTGACCCTGGTCAGCTTGGTCAAAATAAAATGTATAATCTGCACCTACCATTAAGAAAAGGTACCACTTCCTATCTAGAACTAGAAAAATAGAATATATATTATTTAATATCTAGCTAACACTGATGGCATCATACACAGCAGTATGATCTATTTTTTCATACTTATTTCAGTGACAGCTTTTCTTTAAAAGTATATCTGAGGTTTATTTGGTATTTGGAGTTTTCCACAGAATGTGAAGCTCCAAGGCCGTTACTCGTGTCTTTGCTCATCCTGAACTTGGTGGCAGCAGCCTGCCAGACTGCTCCTGTAACACAAGGGGCTGGACTGCAAAGAACTTATTGAGCTGAATCCAGTTCTGACCCCAAGGGCAGCGGGATGAATGATGGCATTAGGGGATACCAAAGGAGAAACAAGAGAAGGAAAGTGTCTTTCAAACAGCTACCTGACACTGTAGCAGGGACGCCAAGCTCACCTGTCTCCAGACCACAGAGCTCCTTGCTGGCTGGATACTGGTAAACACTAACAGCTGCAAAGTAGGCCTGTGCGAAGCGGCTAGTATTCGCTTCGGATTTAGCCAATTCGGGGGACAGTGATTCAATACAGAGATTCGAATCACTGTCCCGATTCGATTTGGCTGAATCTGGTTTGGAGATTCAGCCGCTGCCGAATCGACTGAATCCCCGAATTGGCCCTATCCCCTGCCTGCTCTCCCAGCCCTGTCAATGGCTGCCCCACCTGGCCCCAGCTTCTGGCTCTTTGAAAAAAACAAACAAACCCTGGCACTCGCCGACTGTTGCCAGGCAGGGGGGCAATCATTCTGTGTGGGGGGCTCTGTCACGAGCCCCCATCCCCTGCCTGCTCTCCTAGCCCCAGCTCTAAAAAAAAAAAAAAAAGCTCAGTCAGGTGTGGGGGTGATCCCCGCTTTCCCCCACTGCTCCGTGGGGGACTCTGTCATGAGCCCCCAGAAGCCCCGATGGCAGCTGGCTTCGGGAGCTGGGGCCAGGCGGGGCAGCCATGGGGTGGCTGGGACAGTGGGAGGGTTACTGGAGGGCTTATGCAGAGCCCCCCACACAGCGAGCAGGGAGAGTGGGTGGGGGTTGGGAGACTTTGAATCGATTCGGACCTTTTAATTGGTCCCTTGATTCAATTCGGATTTGGAGATTTGGCCACCAAATCGGGCTGAATCTCCTCTGAGTCGAATCAGCACCCGAAGCTTCACACAGCCCTACCGCAAAGGATGTCGTGATATGTATGCAACAAAGAACAAGGACTCCAGATAACAATCAGGAATGGTGGTAACATTGATAAATAAAACTTCAGAATGATTCACGGAAAGTACTGCAATATGAGCAGTAATAATCCCCCTCCTTGCCCCTTGCTCTTTCTGTATTTCTGGGATTAATTATTTTAAGCAGGATTACTATTTCTCTTCAGTTTGCTGTGCATAAGGATATGGCTCAGGGAGCTGCACACTTGTACTAAACCCTGAAAACCACGCAGTTCTAAACTCTGCCTCTGTTGAAGGTGTATGTAGCTTTAATGTTACTGGTCTGTTCTCCACTCTTATCCCTGTAGTGTCCAAAGATTAAAAAAAATCTTTTTTGCCCTCTAGCAAAACCTGAAGAGAATACCAGCAACTGGAATGCACGCAAGTCAGCCTGTGTAGAGTTATAAGCTTGTTCAGTGTTTTGAACAGGATGAGATAAAATCAGTTTTGGTTAACCCTCTCTATAACAATTGCCATTGTTTCAGGAGAAGAAAATAACTGCATGTCATAGTGGGGAGGAAAACAGAACTAGGAGAGAACTCATTATAGTCTCACTGTAAGTCTGTAGTCTCTGCTGAGACTTCAGCTTTGATAAGAGAGAGCACAAAGAGCAGCGTACTAAAACAGGAAGCATTAGCACATTGAGCTGTTATGTCAATCCTTTCCTTTCCTCTTCCTTTAAAAATATCTGCCTTGCTTAGTGTGTAACTTTAAAAAAAATGGTATTTTCTATTTAATTTTGTCCCTTTCCTGATGTGGAAAGTGCTAAGGAGTTTAGTATCAGTGATTTTAGAATTCTTCAATAGCAGCACTTTCCATGGTCCATCAGTGGTTATCAGCATCATTTGTAAATGAAGAGATCAAACTTCCATTGCTTTTTTTCAAGGATGCTTTTTCCTTATATTGCTACTTCTGCAGTGTGACTTTATGCTTTATTTAGCAATCAGATGCAGAAAAGCATGTGTGTCTGATCCAAAACTTAGGTGTGCTGAACTACAAAATTGCAATCCAGACAATTCTTTGGGTCACCCGTAGAGGACCCTTAAAGTCAT